AAGCTGAAATCAAAGTATATTGATGGTACAGTTGTTATTAGATCTGGGAATATCTATTATGTTCCAGGACTGGAACAAATCAAGCATATGTGTGAATTCAATAAGGAAGAGCTATGGCCTCACATCGCTCTGCTTTCAGGTGCTGCCAGCTAAATCTAAGTTTCATCACTCCCACTTTCCCATGATGTCAAGTTCTTTGTATCATCACTGGTTTATTCCATTCACTTTCTACTGGCCTTCTCCAGGCCAATCAGTAGTCATGCCCCATACATACAAATCTCACTGTGCATTTGTCATTCTCCCTCATAGAAGCATTTGTGGAACCCACCTCATCCCCATCTCCACCTCTCATTACTCAAGCTTGATTCAAGCCACCACCAGCGTTTAGGCTGCAAGGGGTCCTGCTCTAATCCCTTTCACAGCTGGGGTTCCATTCAGCTGAGACAGGCCATCGGACTCTAACCACCAAACACCAATCTATATTCTGTTCATCAATAACTCATATTCATTCTTTCTAATGATCCGTCCTTGTTGAAATGCATGAAGTTGCCCTCTAATAATAAAAGGTTTTACATGGTCGGTTATGTTATTTGATGAAAAATAAATAGTCCTTGATCTGACCTCAGAATTTCCAGTTTACAATTTGGAAGCTTCACTCCTAAATCTTGCAGGTTGTTGTTACTTAAGTCCAGCTCTCTCAGTTTACAGTACTGGGAGCTGAGAACTGAGGAGATTGCTTCACCGCTTTTCTCCGAGAGGAAACAGCCAGTCAGTCTGAAAAAAAAAAAAAAGAATTCCAAGCTAAAGTGAACAAATGTCAATTTGCAAAACAATTCATAATTGACATAACATTTAAGCTAAGACCAAAATGTTAAATTTTTAAATTGCTCAGTACAGTCACACTAATACCTCTTCATTGAAATGGATAAAGAGCTGGTACATTTAGTTACACTATCTTAGTGCTGACACAGGTACATAGGACTGCTGGTCACTCATCTTTAAATAATGTTGGTAGATACAGTTCAAATTAATCCATATTTATTTCAAATACTTATGTCTGGTTTAGTCCTCAACAAGTGAAACACATGCTCAACTGGGTTAGGATCAAGCAAGTGACTTGGCCATTCAAGAATATTCCACTCCTCTCCTTTAATAAACTCCTGGGTTGCTTTAACTGTATGTTTTGGGTCATTGTCCAGCTGTATTATGAAACACTGCCCAAATCAGTTTAACTGCATTTAGCTGGATCTGAGCAAACAGTATGTCTCTGAACACCTCAGAATTAATTCAGCTGCTTCTGTCCTGTGTCACATCATCAATAAACTCTAGTAAACTCTCAATAGTCATCTCAAGTTGTTTAACTACATAAGGTTAAAACCCTACAATATTGGCAAGAAAGCCCGACCATCAGAAAATCCACTGTAAGCAGCGCTGGTGATAATGGGAAGGAAGAACAGTAAAATACTCCAGATTAAATTAGGAAGACCATCTACCATGACTGGTTGCAGGTGTTGAGGTTTAAATTTATCATCTTAAATGTTTATATGCTGATTATATTGCTTTATATAAGAAAGGCCTAATTCTGAGTACACTCTGTGCCAAAAAGTGCTGACAGGAAACTGCATGCTTTTGCAGAGCGTGAAACCAACTAGGCTGTTTGATGCACACTAGGGAGCAAGTATATAAATACCTAGGCTTCCGTTTGTGCTTGAGACCTGAGCTTGTGTGTTCGTGTGGGGCTCCATATCCAGGATATGTTAAATAAAGATCATTTTTTAAAGTAAAAAGACCACTTTTGAGCCGTGTCTTTTTGGCTGTTAAGAATACAAAAGAACCGGAATTTCTCCACGGAGTCACGTGGTATGCTGCCCAAGATGGCAGCATAGGTTGGAGTTGCACACAGGTGCGAGTGTGGAGGAAACAGAGACAAGAATTTCTCATTTGGAGGACGAAGAGGCTAAAGCTAGCTCAATAAGTAAGAACTTGAAGATACAGAACCAGCGGCTGCAGGAAAAAGTAACGGCGCTCGAGGGTTTCTCACGGTGCCAGAATATTAGAATATTGGGTATTAGAGAAGGAACCGAAGGCCGTAATCTTGAGGACTGCGTGAAGAATCTGTGTCTGAGGCTCTGGACATTGAGATGGGAGATTACTACGAAATAGACAGAATCCATCGGGTGGGGCCAGCACCTCCGATGCCAGCTGCGGATTCCAGACCGAGACATCATCGTTCGCTTCCTACGGGATAAAGCCAGCTGCCAGAAAAAAGAAGCAGATCATTTGGAAAGGCATGAGAGTCCATTTTTTCCAGGATTATGCGCAGGAGGTACAAGAAAAACGGCGGAAGTTTGACGAGGTGCGACGTTTGCTGCAACAGCGCAATATTAGCTATTCCCTTCGCTAACATTTCGGGTGATGTAGATTAAGAGGATTTCTAAGCTAAGGGTCAGTTTACTTCTGTGGTTTATTCCTGGATTGGGGGTTTCTTTACACCTTTCGACCTTTCTGCTGAGATTCTTTTTTTTT